CGATCCCCCAATATTGACTTTTAATAAGTCTGTTGTGGCGTGCAACCCGATCCTCCAATATGGTCTTTTTAATAAGTCTGTTGCGGCATGCAACCCGATCCTCCAATATGGACTTTTTAATAAGTTTGTTGCGGCGTACAACCCGATCCTCCAATATATCCATTTCAATCAATTTTGTTGCGGCGTGTAACCCGATCCTCCAATATATCCATTTACCAATTCTTATAGAAGAAATTTTCCCAATAAATATAACAATTAATATAAAATTATAAGACAACAAGCATACAATAATTATGATTTAATTATGAAACAAAGAATGACAAATAGAAAATTATTATGGAAATCAGGGAGAAATATGCAGTTTAATGTTTAATATGCTAAATGCCAAATAACAATTAAAACACATAATTCAAATAGCATGTAACAATTAATGCAGGAATTCAATAATTAATAATTGACAAAGAATAAGAGAGAAATAATTATTATAATAATTAATTTATGAATTAAAATAATTTATGATTTTTCAAGTAAACCGGCAAACAATTAATTTGACGACGTATAGGCACTCGTCACCTCACCTATATGTCGTTCACATGCATTTCACATAACAAATAATTTAAGGGTTCTATTCCCTCAAGTCAAGGTTAATCACGACACTTACCTCGCTTTGTAAATTCCAATCAATTACTCGACCACAACTTTTCCTTTTAAATTTGTCTCCAAAAGCTTCAAATCTATTCACAAACAATTCGATTTACTCAATACGAATCATAGGAATTATTTCCATATGAATTTACTAATTTTCTGGATAAAAATCCGAAATTCATTCAAATATTTGATAGTGGGACCCACATCTCAAATCCTAAAAAAACTCGCAAAATCCAAACACTCGTTCCATTACGAGTTCAACCATATAAAATTATCCAATTCCGATATCAAATGGACCTTCAAATCTTAAATTTTCGTTTTTGGAAGATTTTATAAAATCTGATTTTTCTTCCCTAAATTCACGGATTCATGATGTAAATGAGTATAGAATCATGAAATATAATCAATATAGGATAAGGAATACTTACCCTAAGAATCATACTCTTAATCACCCATCATTACCCAAACTCGAAATTGAAGATTAGGGGTTAGAACCTTACCTCTTTGATGAAGAACTTGAGAAATTTCTTGTTGGTTTTCAAGGCTTGGACAAGAATTTGATGAACAAGACACTTTATCTACTTCCTCTCTCTAGAACACTCTCACTTCTCTCTAAAATCATCAAATAAATGCCCCAAAATAAATCCCAAAGCCTATTTATCAAAATGGGGTCGGGTTATGAAAATAGAAAAATTACCCCTCCGAAAACAGGTATGTGGTCGCATAATGGACCGCACAATTGGTCTGCGGGTCACAAAATGATCGTATAATTCGGTGCCCAGAACTGGGTTGTTCTGTACCATTTTGCAACCAGTTTGCGGCCGTATAACTATTTTGCGATCGCATAATGGTCGCAGAATCGCATTCTGTCAGCCTTTGGTAATTTGGTCATAACTTCTTGTAGGAATGTCCAAATGACGAACGGTTTAAAGCGTTAGAAACTAGACTCGAAGATCTTTCATTTGATAGGTAATACACTATACACAACTTAATATCATGAAATTTATATTCTTTTGAAGTTAGCTTTTGTGCGAACTCACTTAAAACTTTAATCTTATGAAATTTTCAACTTCTACATTCGATGCCAAAACCTATCGAATCAAGTCCGATTGACCTCAAATTTTGCATACAAGTCATAAATAATATAACAGAGCTATAAAAATATTTGGAACTGGATTCCGACTCCGATATCAAAAAGTCAACCCCGTGGTCAAACTTGGAAATCTTTTGCCTTTAAATTACTAGTTTCCGTTAAATAATTATAACTTGAGCTAGGGACCTCCAAATTAAATTTCGGGCATACGCCCAAGTCACAAATCACAATACGGACCTACCAAAACTTTCAAAACAGTGATCCGGGTCCGTTTGCTCAAAATATTGACCAAAGTCAACTCAACTGAGTTTTATGGCTCTAGTTCACAGATAAAACCATTTTTCACATAAAAAATTTTCGAAAAATTTTACGGACTTCGCACGCATGTTGAGGAGTGACAAATAGTGCTTTTTGAGGTATTAGAACACATAATTGATTATTAGATTTAAAGATGATATTTTAGGTCATCACACCGATCCATAAATAAATCAATACCATCAACAATCCAATACTCAATTTACAAGAATTTCTACAATCATAGGGTATGAGTACACGGCAATGAAGGAATCGTGTAAAAATCAAGGAACGCAACAAATATTACAAAAATGACAGGACAAATGAAGCACGAGACAACTAAGGCGTGAAATTACAACAATTAAAACAAGTAGCAGATAAGCACAGATTCATGGAAGGAACGCAACAATTAAGAGGTCACAAGACAATAAGGAAGACAACAACTTCAACTAAAGCATATAAGTGTAAAATATCAAGTAAGAAGTACAGTGAGTGCTAACAACATCAAATAAAGTATATAAGAGTAGATTAACGATGAGAGACATAACACGTCATGACAATTCACTCAAAGGCATGGAAAGAGTCTAGATAACCTAAACCGGTCAAATACCACATATAGTACGTGTACCCACTCGTCACCTTACGTACACGGCTTTCACATAACACACTTAGCATAATCAACTCGAATCCTAAGGGGTTGTTTCCCCCACCAAAAGTTAGGCAAGACACTTACCTCAATTCGGCCAAATCAGTACTCAAATTAGCTTTTTCCTTTACAAATTCACCTCCGCTAGGCTCAATCTAGACAAAGACGACTTAAATACATCAAACAATGCAAGAGAAAATAATTTCAATAAACAAAGCTATGATCTTTATACAACTTCTAAACAAAGTCAACAAAAAGTCAGTCCCGGGCCCGTCCGGTCAAACTCCAGGTCCAAGGGTAGGTCTTGACTACTCATAGACCCTCGAGTCCATATACGTGTTTTGTTTCCAAATCCGAGTCCAATTCGAATCACAAATCCCAAATTTTCATTTTTCAAAACTTTGACAAAATCCTCAAATTTTTCGCTTAGATTCTCATGAATTTGATATTAAATCTAATGTATAATTATAAAATATAATTGAAAACTGATTAGAGGCACTTACCCAATGGTTTGGTATGAAACTCCTTCCACAAAATCGTCTCCCATCGAGGTTAGGGTTCAAAACATGATAAAATGAAGCTAAGTTTCGGAATACTCAGTTATAAGCAAGCTACAGATGTCGCATTTGTGACACTGGGTTCGCAAATGCGAACTCGAAAAAGCGAAGCTTGAACAATTCTGAGGCCTTCAAAAATGAGACAGAAAATGTCGCAAATGCAGACACGGGTCTTCGCAAAAGCGACCACTTTGTCGCAAAAGTGACCCTACCCAGCCCAGGACTTCATCATAAATGCAATACAGAGTTCGCAAAAGCGAACTCTACAGGCTTCGCAAAAGCGATCATTTCTTCGCAAATGTGATACCTCCCCCAGCAGCCCAGGTTCGCAAATACGAGGAATACCTAAAAAATATGGTAGTCGCATTTACAAACAAAACATCGCAAATGCGATGGAATCAGTACCAACACTCAACAATTCAACAAAATCAATCTGAAACCAATCTGAAACTCGCCCCCAGCCCCTGAGGCTCCAAACCAAACACCCACACCAGTCTAAAAACCTAACGTGAACTCGCTCGTGCAATCGAAATACCAAAATAACCTCTAGAAGCACAAATCGAGCGCCAAAACGTATGAGAATCTTAATGAACTTCAAGAACTTCTAGAAGCAACCAAGCATTCGAACCATAACAAATCAACTCCAAATGACATCGAATTTTGCAGGAAATTTCCATATGAAGAAACAAAACTATTCCAAGTCCCGAAATAAAAATCCGAACCCGATAGCCTTAAAGTCAACTCTGGTCAAACTTAGAAAAATTCTAAATCGTTAAATTGCCAACTTTCGCCAAATGACGTTGAAACCCTCTAAAAACATCCAAATGCAAATACAGTCATACGCCCAAGTCCAAAATCACCATCTGGACCTACCCGAACTATCAAATCTCCGATCCGAGGTCAAATATCTAAAAAGTCAAACTCGGTCAATTCCTTCAACTTCGAGCTTCTCAAATGAGAGTCACCACTTAAAATCATTTCCGAACCACTCAAAAATCTGAGCCGATGATCCACGCAAGTCATAATACACTAGGTGAAGCTACTCATGACCTCAAACGACCGATCCGGACTCAATTTCTTAAAACGACCAGCCGGGTAGTTACAAGGGTGATGCAAATGGATCGATATTGCCACCATTATCATGCCGATCAGGTCTATTTATTAAACATGGATCATCATGTTCAAAATAATATGAACAGAAATAAGATGTTTCTCTAGCCAGATATGCCTCACGTATCGATCCCTCAACCCTTGATCTATTATTCACGGTCCTCTTACATTTGCCAATCATCCTGCATAACACGATTTTGAGATGAAATAATATTAAAATAAAACACATAAGGATTAATGATTATAGATAATTATCCCTCGAAGGGATACATCCATCTACATTGAACTAGCCCTCATTGCCATGCCTCTTGCGCAAGCTGAATTAAAAGATGTTCCATCACATCGAAAAAATCAAGCGGGAAACTTTTCGCCAACTTGTTTAAAGTTAAGCGAATGTTGTTGTCAATGTAAGCTAGGTTCTCCTCCCTCAATGTGCTAGAGCACAACTCCTTGAAAAATAAGCATATCTCTATGATGGTCTTTCATATTCTATCAGGCAAAGCATTGAATTCAATAGGCATCAAAGATTCCATGAAAATGTGACAGTTGTGGCTTTTCATAGACGTCAACTTCCCTTATTTCATGTCAACACACCTAGATAAGTTTGATGCATACTTATCAGGCATTCTTAAATTATTAACCCAATCACAAATCTCTCTTCTTTCATCCAAAGTGAACGTGTAACTGGCCTTAGGCTTCTGAATCTTGTTGTTCATGTATGTCAAGTATAACTCAGCCCGCCTACAATATTCTTTTAAATTCATCCTTGCCTTCAAGTTATATTTTGTTTTGTTTCTAACATCCATCACAGTATTAAACAAGTTATCAAAAAAGTTCTTCTCGGTATGCATGAAATCAAGATTATGCCGAAGAAGATTGTGCTTCAAACAAGGTAACTCCTCAAAAATGCTATGTTTTGTCCAGTTGTGTGTTACACCATACCCCGATATCTTATTAGGCAATGGATACTCTGTTACCTTGGGTAGATCCCTAACTCTATTCCAAATCTCTTCAGGTGACAAGACATGCAGTGGCTCCTCATAATCAGTTTTGTTCTTCATAGATGCACTAGTATTTCTCCTAAACTCATGATCCGTTGGCAAAAAGTGGTGATGACAATCAAACCATGTGTTCTTGCCTCCATGTATCAAAGTGAATGCCTTTGTGTCTTCCAAACAAGTCGGGCAAGCTAACTTTCCGGCAGTTGACTACCCGGACATTATTCCATAAGCAGAAAAATTATTTATAGTCCACATCAAAGCAACACCGAGTCTGAAGTTTTGCTTAGTTGATACATCATATGTTTCCACACCTTCATGCCACAATAACTTCAACTCATCAAATAGGGGTTGCATGTATATATCAATCAATTATTTTGGATTGCGTGGATCTGGAACAATACAAGTAAGAAACAAATATTGACTTGTCATACATAATTCAGGCGGTAGATTATACGTCATAACAAATACTGGCCAACATGAATATGGTGCAGCAGACACTGCAAATGGAGTGAATCTATCAGCACATAATCCCAGCCCAATATTTCTCGGTTCACCGGCAAAGTCTGGGAATACCCTATCAAAATGCTTCCATGCTTCTCCATCTGACGGATGACATAACACACCATTTGACCTTCTATGTTCATAATGCCATCTCATATGAGGAGCGAAACTCATTGATGCGTAAAACCTCTTTAACCTTGGTATAAGGGATAAGTCGTGCATCGCCTTCACTGGAACCTTCTTCTGTTTATCATTTGTGACTTCTTCGTAACGCGTCTGGTTACAAAATTTGCAATTTTCTAAAGCTGCATCATCCTTATAAAATAACATGCAACCTTTTTCACAATAATCAATCCTCTCCGATGAAAGACCTAACTTGGAAACCAATTTTTTTACCATGTAAAAATCTTTGCGCAAGTCAATCTTGGTCGGATTAAGTTCATTCATAAGGCCAATGATAGAATCCATGCTCGCTTGAGAAATAGAATTATCCGATTTAATACTTAGTAATTTAACTACAACAGACAACTTGGAATGTACTGCGTCTTCATAAAGCGGACAACTAGCTTCCTCTCACTGTTTGAAGAAGCTCTTAGCCTCATTATTTGGTTCGGATTGAGCCCTCGAAAACATCTCAAAAGCATCCCCCATCATTTCATTAAATCTAGAATTTTCAACATTAATATTCTCCCCTATGGGACTACCTTCTTCACCACCAAATGAGTTCTAAAAATGAACATCATCTACACTAGCATGACTCTCCCCATGCACAGTCCACACATAATAATTTTTCATAAACCCCTTCTTATGCAAATGAACAACGACAATATCGGGCACCAGTAACATAAGACACTTGCATTTCACACAGGGGCACCTAATCGTCCCTTCGATAAGGAAATCATCAAGTGTCTTTGCCTTAACAATAAAGCTAGCAACCCCTTCTATAAATTCATCGCGCAACCCCGTACGATTCGGATGATTCCATCTACACAAAATGTTAAATATTATTTTATTTAAAGGTTTTTATTTTGAAAGGTTAAATAGCATTACACAATAAGTTAATTTTTAAAAATCCAATTTTAAATAATTTAATTTCAAAGGCTTCTATTTGTATAGGTATAAAAGTAGAAATATTAGCTTAGTATTACCTATCCTCTTATCATATTCTCAAAAATCTCTTTTATTAAAGTGATTGCGATTCACTAGATCGTGCTTCATCAAATTTCACAAACTATATATTCTTTTTTATTACTATCATTTATGAATATTTTTTACTAAGAGGAAGAGAGGTAAAAGGAAAACTAAATATCAAAGCAATATCACTGGCCTCCCAATTCAAAATGCAAGAAATCATGTTTGTTTGCCCAACAATACTATTGAAATATCAAAGCAATTTCTATTCTCAAGTGAAACTCCACATGACAAATTTGTTCAAAAGATTATGAATGATCGTTACAAGAAAACTACTCCACTCAAAAATACACATGGGATCCTAAGGCTCAGTATCATGTCATTCATGAGGAGACTCTTCAAACACACAAAATTTTACAAAATTAAAAATCAATCTATTTTCTAGCATAAATTTCTAAGTACTTGAATAAATTAATAATTTTAATAAAAATTATACTAACCTTGCAATTGGACCACTACAACACTGCCGCTGAGTATAGAGGAAGACAATGTCGTCGGAGTCCATCGTTGTCGCTGCTGCTACACACCATTGCTGCCCGACCGCCTCTCCTAAAAAAATTGAAAAAGGAAAATGAGAAGAAGAGGACAGGAGAGGAGGAGGGATAGAGAGAATGAGAGAACGAAATACATTACCTTTGTCTTCAATGGCACCTGTGGAGGGTTCCACCGTGGGGG